GAAAAATATTACCGGACTCGGACCCGGACCTTAGACCTATATTGGGTCTACCCCCTCGGGTCCCGGGTGGGTCCGGGTCCATTGCCACCCCTACTCACCTTGTAGAGAAGACCTAAAAAACCAAAGTATTATGGCCTTTTTTTGTACGGAAAGAGCCTACTTTCCTTTGAGAGTTCAATTATCATAGAAGAAAATAGCAGTAAAAGTATACATGTGTCTATAAGTTAGAGTGGTGCATTTTCATAAGTTCTATCTTCATTTCCCATGACATTTGATAGTGAAAGTTGAAAGGGATTATAACTAGTCCCGAACCAATAAAACACAGGAACTCTAAATTAAATCAAGTTTTGGAGAGTTTATTTGGTTTTTCTTCTATTTAGATCCTTATTAATTGGTTTTTATCATCAATTTAACTGTAGTGTTCCATGAATTCATAATCAGGTTTTCCTTTTCTCTTTGTTGCAGAATTTGACTCCAAATTCAACTTGTTACAAGAGAAAAGCTTTGAAATTCTTGATCATGTCATGATCCATGACTGGGCCTTCACAGAAGACCACTACATCTTGGTTGCAAACCGTGTCAAGATCGATGTAGCAGGTAAGAAGTAGCCATTAACATCTAATGTTTTCTTAAATTATTTCAAGAATTATTTAATCTTTGACATTAGATGTAATAAGATCCAATTCTTTTGAGATTGTTATTAAGTAAATATTGGTGTGAAAAGGTTTGCCACTCAGGAGAATATTGAATTGGAAAAGTATACAAAGAGACCATTTATTTTGGTACCAAAAGGTTGTAAGCGTGTCATTTATTAAAGTCAAAGTTATAAGAAATTTCTTGAACTTTGTGACACACTCCAAGCCATCCAAATTGACATCTAATGACCGGTAGTAATTGTTATATCTTTGTAACAAAGATAAATGGCCTCAAAGTATACAATCCCTATCAAATTTTAGGATGTAACCTTTCGAACTTTGGGACTAAACCTCCAAAAAACAAATTGGGACTAAACCTTCAAAAAACTAAAACAAAAAAAAGCAAAAACAAAAAAGCACATTCTATATGCTTGAAAAAAATAATGTCATAAAATTAAATAGGACCTCTGTAGGGCAAGATCTAAGTATAGAAGAACTCAAAATTCATTTTTATTAAATAATTATCAAGTGATTCTTAGGTAGATCCCAATATTTCATATCAGGAAATTCCACCTGAGGAAGTTAACGTACAGTAAACTCCCACAAGAGTATGAGCTAAATATTGATATCGTTGGGAAAATATTGTCCCTCATGGCCATTGGTTTCTTGTGAGAAGATCATCTGTGTGTGTGTGCGGCGCTGTGCGCATGTGTGTGAGGATGATATTTATGGAACACACGTATTTCGCACTGGTTCATGAATTTCATTTTCCATTTTGATGGGTATAGGTTCAATATTAACTTTATCTGGTTTCTGTTTTGAATAATTAGGTTCAATATCAGCACTATGTGGAATCTCACCAATGATCTCTGCACTTTCACTCGATCCAAGCCATCAATCATCTCGAATCTACGTGATTCGTCGGTTCTCAGAAGGAACCCGAGATTGGAGACTTCCCATAGAAGCACCTTCACTATTCTGGTTACTCCATGCCGGCAATGCCTTCGAGAGAAGAGATGAACATGGCAACTTACACATACAATTACAGGCATCAGCTTGTTCTTACCAATGGTTTAATTTTCATAAAATGTTTGGTAATTCTTCATATAACTGCTATACTTTGCATTTAGTCTCAATCCTACTACTATGCTTTTGCATCTAATCCATACACACACATGGGTTGGGCTGATACATCTCTTAGTATCAATCAGTGATTTAAAAGTCCCTTGCCTAACTCCGAACTCACTTGAGTCATATCAGATCAGGGACCTGGTTATTCCGGGCCAGAGAACTTGGAATTGCCAAGCCGCTGTTGATCGTTTACATCTTTCCTTATCTAAAATAGCCGGTCCGACTCAGATTCACCTGATTCATACAAGTGGTACTTGGATTCGACCCCTTTCCGAGTTGGCTAGTGAATCGGATTTTTTAACCACTAGCATGAGTTTTTCTTCTTTATTTTCCTTTTCTTTTAACATGTATATTAGATAAGAATAATTCCTAAAAGGTAAATCAGGTTTGGGTGGGGGTAATTTGTCTCTTTGCTGAGGCAAAACTGAAATTGATGCATGTAATTATGCCTATTTGTATGGATATTTGTTTCACAAAAATGGGAGGGTCAACATGGATCAACACGAGTCACTCGGACCCACCCACTAGGCAGGTCTAGTTAAGACCGGTTTTGGTGGTCAGAATCTTGACAAAAATTAAAAAATTATCTAGTTTTTTTAACTTCATTTATATTTATATATTTTTTGTTTAATATTACTTTAAACATATTTTTTAAGATTTTTATATTTTTTAAATAGGTACATGTCTGATCGGGCAAGGTTACTTGGCCCAGCCGGTACTGTGCCCACAGAACCTTACAGCGCCCAAGGGCCGTGACCATTATAAAAGCTCACACTAAAACCTAGGGGGGGATAGGTCTCAGGGTGTGTTATATGGTGGTCCCATGGGACCAATTGTACCTTTGGTCCCATAGATCAGCAAAGGGGATAATACTTTAAAGGTTTATGACCTGACAAATTCCGGATCATCTTGGCTCACCCTGTAATCAATTAAAAAAAAAAGCAAACCTATCAAAATGTATCTTAAGAGATGAACTATTTAATATTTTTTATTTAATTTTAAAAACCATCAAATCACACATAATCACAAACTGGAATACTTAAAGTATAGTGTAGTTTGATAAATTTTCCTGAAAAATCCCCAGTTTGTTGAACCTTGCTACATATGAAAGCAACATTTATTGAGCTCTTGATCCTTTTTTATTTTTTATTTCCTTTTGTTAAACTGATTTTATAGATGAGTAAATATCATTTTGAGGACTTCGGGATCAAACAAATTCCCTAAAACTGTGGTTTGTCCACTGACCAAATGCATATTTTGATCCACGGGACCACCAGATTCCCTTTCCTGATTTGAGAAAATTCATTATGTGCAATTGTGTCCCGCGATGCATAAGAGATTTTTCCAATTGTAAATGGCCTCCATGTGAATCAAGGAAAGATTTTCATTTTCTACAAATTAGAATGAAATACTTAGATTAATGTAACTTATTGTGAAATATAAATTGAGATTGTGTGAGAATAAGAATGGGCATCATCATCTATAACAGGGAAATTTATGGAAAATTCTTATTTTATTATCACAAATTAAAATTTAGTTTCTTATAATTTATATTTATGCTGAAGTCTCAATTTTTAGAGAATCCATTATACATTAATTTTATTTTCCTATAAATTGGATTAAGTTCAATTTTATCATCCAAAAATCTTATTTTATTATCAAAGATTAAAATTTAGTTCTTATAATTTATATTTATGCTAAAGTCTCAAATTTTAGAGAATTCAATATATTTTAATTTTATTTTCGTATACATTGGATTAAGTTCAATTTTGATCATCCATACTTCTCATCATCACGTCTGTAACAATTAGTTCAATAAAATAAAATAACCAGAATACCTCTACAAGCTTCAAGGGTGTATTGGCCATTTATATCTTTCAAACTTTTTTGTATCCAGGTCTACAGCAAAAAAAAATATAAAAGCCCCAAATTTGAGCTTAGTCTAATAAAGAAAAATATAAAATTACAAAATTAAACTACATTAAATGCTCTCAAAAAGTAGGACTTGAATATAAAATATAAAATATAATGAGCTATTTTTAAATTCTGATCGTAAGATGAAATTTACGGTACATATTCATCAAATAACTTACACAATAAGCAAAAGTTCAAAGAATGCCATGCCCCCTTTTTTCTTAGGCGGCCATGAAAATTTGGAAGATTTGCAAAAAAGGATATCCATATTAAAAAAAAAGAAAAAGAAAAAAGGATATCTGCCAATAAAATTATTTAAAACTCTTAATTATCCAACTTGTTTTGTTTGTTTCAAAATTTTAGGGAAAGATGAGTTATTGGTAGAAACTCAAGCTCCTATTTATTCTCCCTTAGAAATATAATTTTTTTAAATTTCAATAATAAATAGGATATGACTGGCGGAGGCCGCAGCTGGATCCGACATTTATGAACAAAGAAAATGCAGAAAATTTGCCGCATCTAGTACAGGTATGTACTTCTTATTTTATTTGCAAGACCTTTATTAAATTACCCATAAGATATGAACAATTTAACACCATACTTATATCCTTTAATCAATTTCCAAATACCTCTACAAAATACATGATCTCGGGTTGGAATAGTTGCAAATAACTAGACTATTAAATAGTTATGTCTCATAGGTACTGATAAAATTTCCCTTCATTTCTCTTAATTTTCGTCTTATTTTGTGCTCATTTTTTTTTTCTCATTTTATTCTAAAAAAAATTCAAATACCAACTTCGCCTCATTATTGTGTTCCCTCAGGCCTTAGCATTGTTGGGTCACACGTAGGCATGCCTACTTGAGTTGAAACATTTTTTATATGCCATTTTGTTCTCAAAAGCATGTCAGGTCACTGACTCAATACCCCTCAATTACTCAATTTAGGGAGCATTATTATTTGGAAAGGCTAGGGGTGGCAACGAGTCAAGTTGGGTCCCGCCGGGCCCGGATCCAAAAATATAATATAGGACTAGGACTTAGACGCAATCGGGTCCCGCCTGACCCGGATCCAAAAATATAATATAGGACTAGGACCTAGACCCCCGTCCGACCCGGATCCAAAAATATAATATGGGACTAGGACCTAGACCCAACCGGGTCCAAAGTCCCCGGACTTGGATCCAGACCCATACCCAAATTGATTATGGGGAACTAAACCCGACATGAAAATTAATTTTCATATTAAAAAAAATGTATATTTAAATAACAAAGAGCAGGGCTACTTTGACGGGGACGAAGACCCAAATCAAGTCCAGGCTATTGAACCGGGCATGACCCATCGGGTCGAACCCCTAGACTCATTCCCAAACCCAAAGTCGGGTCTACCCTTCGCATCTCGGGTCCACCACCCCTTGTGCATCAGAGCTCAAAATTCTAAGGAAAATACAACTGAAGCTATTAGATTTCATATCTAACATCTAAGAGATTGTTACAGATTTCACATCTAACATCTAGGAGAAATTGTCACTTCCTTGTACCCAAAACAAATGATTTTGTAATATACAATCGTGTATTCCTCTCCCCTCTTTTTACCCCTTACCTCCAAATAGTTAATGAGTTAATTTCATCACCTATCGAATCTGAGGTAGATGCAAAATTGTCTGTGGAGATTTTATGAAGTGCTCAATCTGTATGTTTTACTATTTTAATGGCCTATCAGGTTTCCATGGAATTGGGAAAAGATGGAAATTTTCACAACTGTACGGTGGAGCCACTCTCCCAGTGGATGTACACCTCTGATTTTCTGGCCATAAATCCGGCATTCTCGGGCACCAAGAACAAGTACTTGTACACATCATCTTGTTCTGGATCTAGGCCCTCTTTGCCATATTTTCCATTTGACATGGTTGCTAAGCTTAACATGACACAAGGCTCAGTGGCCACGTGGTGTGCTGGATTTCGTCGCTTCGTCGGAGAACCGGTCTTTGTTCCACGAGGAGAAGAAGAGGATGATGGATACATACTAGTCGTCGAGGTAATGGAAGTGAAATTGGTAAAAATAATTACAATGCTGATGTAGCTAGGGATTTGCTGTCATATTTAACACCCACCTATATTTACATGGGCTGGTAGAAACAATCACATTCCTAACCATGTTTAACACCCACCTATATTTACATGGGCTGGTAGAAACAATCACATTCCTAACCATGTTTAACACCCTCCCATATAACATGGATAATACCATGGTTTTTGCACGTCATGAAACACCAAGGACACAACACCTCCATTTGACTACTTAGAAACCTAAACACTTCTTTATGTTATTTTCTATCTCGATGTAAAGGGACTTAAATTTAAAATCCCTACATCTCACATTCAAATAATGGACAGTTACATCATGTGTAAAGGACCAATTTTGAGATTATATTTATAACACTCGTATATGTGTCAGACATGATACATATCCTACGCATGTATAACACAAACTCTAAAGTAGAAGGGGTCGATAGGTACATACTCATCATCAGGCAATTAAATAAAATTGGTGGAAACAATTATATTCATAACTATAAGATACCTTCCCCTTGACATGCACAACGCTCTATGGCCTATGTTATTTTTAGTCATTTCCCAAGATTAAAACATGAACTAAAGATCACTAACTTTGCGATACACCCTTTAAGCTTTCACAACCGTGAATGTGACCTCCTTGTCCCAAAGATAATGGTTTTATAATATACAATCTCACATATCTTACAATAAAATCATTTACCCCATATATTAAAAAAGGTCACAAACAGTGCAAGCCCTAAGATGTGAAATCAGACAACAAAAAATGTACCATACACTGCACTCAAAGTCTAAAAATAACATACATTGAGTCCCCTAAATTGAAATCTGACTGCTAAAGGTGACCATGCCCTTACACATGGGAAAAGATTCCCCTGAAACCATTTTTACTTGAAACCATTTTTATGAGCGAAAGTGCAGACACCAACAAAAATTCCAGTAATCAGAAATGCCAACATTAAAGGACAACGATGGTTTGAGACTCACCAGGACAAGATATGACCCAGCTAGTAGGTCTATCTATCTTGCTATCACCTCCCCACGGACTACACTCATAGACACTCACAACCACAGATTTTGTATGTTCTTACGACCAAGGATTTTTATATAATCATTTGCACAATAATTATTTTACAAAAACTACTAGCAGATCTAATAGATGATGCCAAAGTGAATGGTGCCTCAAAGCCTACACATGTAATTATGTGGGTCTTGACATCTACACCGTTGATGTCATTGGGCATTGCAGATCACACCTGAAAATTCTGCCTTAATTATAAGGTGCAATATGTACCATCCACTTATGTTGAACAGTGCAGATTGGAAGGCCCACTACCCACATTACTTTTGGTGTGTTAGGTCCACGCCCAACCCGATTTCATCCATAAGTAAAAAGTCTAGGATCCAAAGGCATAACAATTTAGTCTCCTCCTAAAAGTCTCTCCACCTACTAAATATCAAAGCAATTCTCTCCTTTTTTTTCTTCTCTGCAGTATGCAGTTTCAGTGCAGAGGTGTTACCTTGTGATGCTGGATGCAAAGGAGATTGGAAAACCTGGTGCACTGGTCGCAAAGTTTGAAGTCCCCAAGGAGCTGAACTTCCCTGTAGGATTTCATGGATTTTGGGTGAATGATGAATCTGGTTAACATTCTCTCTCTCTCTCTCTCTCTCTCTCTCTCTCTCTCCTACAGAATATCCATTGCTTCAATATGCACTAATCCCATTAGAACAGTGTGTTCTTGTGGAACAAAATTACAAGACTGGTTCAATTCTTGCTATAGCCCATGAACAAAAACATTATTTAGTCACACCACTCTATCAAAATAGTGGTGCATTTCTGGTGCATCCAGTGGGATGCTTATAAAAAAGACCAGGTGCTTGTAAATGTTGCAAGGGCAGTTCTGTAATTTTGAACATTATATTACAGATATCACATATGTTTCCTTTGGTTCTTTTTTTTTTTTGGGCACTTATTGAGGGAACCATGTCTTCTGGGCCCCACAACAGTTGTACCTAAGCCACTAAGCCTTAGCAATGAGAGGTATTCCATAGATTATATCCTTTCATATCAACCATGGCATAATTAAGAGGACTGCATTTTTCCATAGTTGGCTTTTCTAATGTCCATTGCAAACTTCCTAACCTTCCTAGCCATGCTGCCTTCTTCAACCTTCTTTAGCATCAAATGCACAGATATGAACTTTTTCCTCGTAGTTACAAGTAATGGTGATAAAGAGCCTGGGTTCGGGCTTGGACCCAGGTTGGCTGGGACACACGAGGATCCCAAGTCCGAGTGAGCCACTGACTTGGTGAGTTACTAGGAATAATACACAGAGGTTCTGGAATCAGATTCGCCTTTGTTTCAGTGTTTTCATCAATATCGGGCACCCTGCTGGGTCCGAGTGACTAGGATGAGTCCGAACCTGAGTCATCAAGTTTCAGTCACAGACTGGGAAGCCCGGAATTTCAATCTGCAACAAAGGGTGCAAGGAGGAGATTTCCAAACACCAGGAGTTCACCACATACAGTTCTGTACCCAGTCCTCATTTTAGAGGAACTTACTCCTTGAGGTAACTTTGTTTCCCCAGTCCTCAAAGCAGGCATGGATGCGGCTATGATGACACCCATCCTAAACCCCTTTATGTTGAAACTCAGAACATAATCAAAGTATCCTCTTTGAACTAGGCACATATACATCATCCGAATCCATTCATTCACTGAATGTTTTTCATATTGAGAAAGCGTTGGTTCATCCATATTCTATAGGCTAACTTGTGAGAAAAAAAAATTGTAACTTTTCATTCTTCCCTGATGGTTGTGTTGTGGAGGACCACAAAATGACTGAGACAAGCCAGATTGAGGTAAAGCTAATCTTTCTTGAAATTCATGTTCTTCTGATTCATATTGGTCCAACGTATTTTTTATAGCATTCTACACGGCAACTGGCAATTTGATGACTTCCTTTGTATATAAAATCCATGTGATCTTTCATTTTCTTTTCAAAATAATCGTTATCTTCCTTATGCACATGTTGCGAGTCAGAATAACAGAACGCGACTATCACTTCTCCATTTCATCCTTCATAGGATTAAGCAACAGATTTATCTCATAGTCTACCTGGTCTACGTTTTGGAACCCTTAAATATGGTAGTTTGATCTTGTCTTATTCGTTCAGATGGAATTTTTGTCATTACTGGTTTTTTCTTTTTTCTTTTTTCTTTTTTCTTTTTTTTTTGTTTAATGAAATTACTATCACTTCACAAAGTCAAAGGTAAATTAACTTGAAAGTACAGTAAGTATATCTCTGTATAGATAAATGAGTATGAGTATATTGCACTTCACAACTGAATTATTAATGAGCTCGCAAAAGCCAAATAAATTATTATCTGAAATGTACAACTTCCGTCGAATGATTTTTACAAGCATTGGATGCGTTTCCAGAGTGATGAAATCCACTAATGTGCTAAATAAAACGGAAACCTTAGAACTACAACTAAATGTTGAATTATACAAACAAACCAATTGAATTACAATTTTATAAATATTACATATACACCAAAGTCATACCTGAATACAACAAATTCCCGCCCTATTTGAGCACATCATTTTGTACATGATGCTCAAATACCTGAATACAACAAATTCCCGCCCTATTTGAGCACATCATTTTGTACATGATGCTCAAATACATACTCTCACCTCCTACAAAGAGAAATGTATGCACAATTAGGAGATGATCAATGATCACTTGCCATTTCTTCAGGAAGCAAGAAACAAATATCATCTAACAAGCAAAAATCATAACAGATGAATGAAAAACAACTCAAACAGAGTTTTGGTAATTCAAAACAAGTGAACAACCTCAGGAAATAACGGTCGAAATCAAAGTGCTTTTGACATTAAGGAAGAAAAATCACGAACTGAATATATAGAATTAGTTGTATATAGAAAGCAAAGAAATAAGCAAATAATGGAGAAATCAAAGTGCATACAAGATTTCCACGTTGGCTGTCTAACCTATAAGCTCTACTGTGAAATCAGCCAACACCCCAACCGATTAAGGGAAAGCAAAACACCCAAACGATTTAAAGGAAAGCAAACCGAAGGAGCATGGTACGCAGACTCCAAAGGGCATCCACTTTCTGACCATCGATATGAACGTTAAAGTGAAATGTAATGGCCCCTCTGGGACAACACCCACGTATAGTTAATCTCCACCGTTCTTCATCACAGTGATGCCCTCTTGGAGTGCCACATACCATATTCCATTGGATTTATATTATCCTATTGCTCAATGATGACGATAAATTGGATTTTCCAGTTTCCCATGCTAAGGAGGAAGGATGGTTTGATAAAGCAGCATACTTCACATTAACTTCCTAATGAAACCAATATCAATGTTTTACTTACAAGGAAAATAGAGAATCCTTGAAATGATTCTCAGCAATTTCCCATAAAAGAATTCCTCCCCGTGATTATTTACAGAAGAAATCATCCTGACGATATCTGATTCAATCTATTATACCATATTGAATGGAGAATCATGTGAAATAGATCAAATCTGATTGGCTTGCTATGCCATAGAAAATGTCTCTGCACCCTCTTCACATTGTTTTGCATGGAAATGTATTGCCTCAAAGGGATCGCCAAAAGGATATTTTTCAAGTTGGGTATGTCCTTCTCTGCAACAAAGACGGCAAACGCTTTCCAGTTCAATACATCGTCAAAAGGTGGCACAAAATTGTCCGCAATTATGATGGGGACACACTCATAGTATATGGACTCAACAATTCGAGGGCTATTGACTTCAAAACCCATCGGACAAATGCAGTATTTGCTAGATTTCATGTGCTGAACATAAGTCATTTTAGTCGAAATTTTATTGGGGAGTGGGCCATATATCTTCATATCGTCATCTTTGTCCCCCCAATATTTAAGTAAAATTGGTCGAACCCGACCATGCATGTACCCTGCAAAAAATGCAAGGATTGGTCTTTGAGAGATAGGTCTTCCCCCTATTTGTCTGAGAGGCCTCTTGGGTGTCCGTATTGTTGTTTCAGGGAGAGAGACATCTTTTCCTGGAACAAAAAACCCTTCTGAGAGATCAGCATTGCATAGGGCTTTGATAGTGTTTTGCCGAAGTTCATCGTGCTCTTTTGTGGTGTATGGTCCCTGGAAAAGTCCACTAATGAGAAGTTGAAAATGAAGGTGCAGGCCGACAAAAATCTAAGGAACCAGAGTGTTGGTGAGAATAGAAAAGCTTAATTCCATTTAAAAGGTAAAAGGGTGACAAGGATTTCTCAAGGTCTTACCATCCTAGTATCATTCTTTAAAGACATGGTCAAAAATATGAAATGTAAAGGTGTAAAAAGATTATACCCAGTCATGGCAAGCAACAAGGAAGTGATCGGAGCCATGTGATCGATTCCAAAAAGGATATTTTGCTGCAATCATGTTGACATAGTCCCTCAAAAAATATGACAGGGGCCTCATGTCATGAGAATCAGGCACATACAAGGAGAGCTGAAGCTGTCGCGAGCTGTAGGGTAAGTAAAATAGGTGTGCTTTGTTAGGGTCCCTCACAACAAATTGCTTGCTTTCTTCCATCAGTTTCATAAACCACCCTTCGGAAGCATAAATGCCTTTGAGTGGAGGTCTATGGAAAATGGGCCTTGGTCCATCCGGGTAAATGTAAACCTTAAGTATCCTTTCCATCAATTCATAGCTCCTGGAATTAAGTCAGTGTTTGCATTATTTAGCTCATGTAGAAAATTAAATTCGAAATACAACTACTCAAGCTATGGTAGACATATCAGCGATGATTTCCTTAACATAAATGAGAAGCATCTGCATCACAAAATCAGTCTAGCATAAGCCCAAATACGAGTCACAAAATTAGAAGGTAAACTCTGTATGTAATAGTTAAGGTAAACGCAGCATATAGTGTAATTAGGTTAAGGTACAAGCAGCATATAGCAAACTCTGTATGTAATAATTAAGGTAAAAGCAGCATATCGTATAATCACAGAATTTGTGACCACCAAGTATCAGTATGAGTGCATATAGTATAGTCACAGAATTTGTGACCACCAAGTATCAGTACGAGTCAAAATCTTTATTTCACAGTGTTTATCTAATTGTCAAGTACAGGTAGTGCTTTCTAAACTTTTTTCATCACTGTCTAAGTTTCTATAAAATTTTCTTGTTTATTATCTTTTTTCTTTTGATGAAGCTTATATGGAGCAAAACTTTGGAGATATCCTACAAATAAAACGAGCATATAGGTATTGTGCTTGTGAAAGCCATGAGTAATCTGGAACTAAAGATGTCACAACAAATTTTATAAGACAAATGGATGCCATGAGTTTTTATTCCCATCTCGGATCTATTTAAGTGCAAGGCACAAATAAGAACACATAGAGTATCAAAGAAACAAATTGCAACGTAGCAGCCTAAAACCATTGTCAATCATCCCAAAAAATTAGCTTCTGATTATTCCAAATGATTACCAAAAAATTAGCTTCTGATTATTCTAAATGATTCTACACATCTAATTGGTATGCAATGACACATTAAAAAATGGGGAAATCTCTAAGGCATGAATATTTTCTCGGAATTCTTATTGTAAAAAATAAAAAGAAAATAAAAACTTTGCAATATTATCTGCCTGATGTACTTGATTACTGGACTAGAAATATCCAACAAGATATGCCATGAAAAGTGAAAGGAGATATCATTTCATACCTTTTGAATCTTGAAACATTTCGAAATACTGGAGGGTAGAGATCTGGGTCATCCGTCACAATCGGGGCATTATCGATCTCTATTTTGGCATAAGCAAGGGCTTGCTCAGGTGGCAAGGACCAAATTGGTGGTGGCCTCTACATTTCAATTGCAAAGCATCAGATGTTTTGATCTGAATTCTACTGGAAGGTTAATAACAAATCACTCAGATAAAAAATAAACCATTTTTGTGGACGGCTAAATGGGTTTTGAGAGGAGAGACCAAAGAGTTAGAATACAGAGAGACCTGCCTTGTGAGTATTGACCACCCATTCAATACTCCAAGGTCTATGTACTGCATAATAATACCTTAGAACGAGATGAAGCAGACCCATTTGAAGCTGCAGCTATTTGAGATGGTGCAGTAACTATCTTTGGGCTCTCCACCACCTTTATAGTCCCAGGGTTAGATTTCATTCTATTGCGAGAAACCAATGACTCCAATTCCTCGGAATCTTCCCTTTCTGGGGGATTATTGATAATTGGCTTATCCACCTTTTCAATATTTGGGTCCAATTCATTTAAAGAATCGGATGGTTCTAGCGCTTCATCATCCCCTTTCCCATCTAATAAGCCTTCTGACTTTGCACTTAGGCCATCGACCCTCTCTTCAACATCTCTATTTTGTGTTGCCTCTCCTTTCCATGATTCTTCTACCTTAGGGAAGTCGTTCCCTCTTGCATAGTCTCCTGACCTTATACTTGAGCTATTGACCTTCTCTCGAACTTGGGTTTTTGGAATCTGTGATTCCAGAGAGTTTGGTGATCCTAAGATCCCTGAATCTCCCCCTTTGGGTAAATCTTCCAACTCGATTACAAGAGATTCAGAAGAATTCAGAGAATTAATTGGGAGAACTGTGTCTGACGTCGGCCCAGAAGTTATGTCAGGAGCAATTGAAACAGATGGGAATTGTTCAAACCTTGCCTGAGGCGACAAAGAATCCTCAAGCCTATTCAAAGTATTAAAAGGAATAATGGAAACTGGATAGGGTATTACGAAGGATTCAAGCACTGCACCAATAGTGGTGATGACCCCAATAAGTAGTATCAGTTTCTTCGTCTCGATTCTGCAACCCTTGCAATACCGTCGACATTCCATCCCTTAACATAAGAAATGATTCAAAGAATGTTCTCATCTCATAAGAAAGATGCCCATAACAAAGAAAAGCAATAAGGGCACCAAAATTATCAAATCAACTAAAGCACCTCATGTCCTTGATCATGCAGACCCATTTCAACTGAAACAATATCGAAAATTAGAGCCACAATTCAATTGCTTCTGCACCTGAAGATGCTCTAACATGGGTCTTGTCGTTCTGTGATTCATACCAAGGAAAGGAAGTCTGATACTCTATTGTAGTCTATGAGAAATTCCCAAATGAAGAAGTCCCAATTTTCAGAAATTTGCCTGCAATATGGAGTATGGAGTGTAAATTATTAATTTGCAATGAGGAGAAAAAGGTTCAAAATTGTTGCATGCTAACATGCTAACATTACTAGAAAGAACTGATGCCAAGCTTTCAATTGCAATGCTGTCTGGAAATAATCACCTTCACAATGAAACATAAATGTGAACACTGCAACATTACTTAAAATTTGAAAATAACATCAGGAAGAAACAAGGAAGAAATGCTCGAACTCATTCAGAAAACAAGTTTTTTGTTCTATTGTAAAATTTAACAAATTCCATAAATAAGCACCCTATGCACCAAATAAACACAACAAAAACTCAATGCCTCTTTGAAAATTCCATAATTTTAAACAATTTTCTGCCATAAAATTCTATAAATTCACTCAATAAGGACCATATTCCGCAAATAAATAGCGAAAAACCCAAAATATATAAAACTTATCCAACAATTTAGAAGCAAAAAAAGAGAAAGAGGATTCAACTAAGAAGGGAAATTACTCCAGTTCCTTTCCCCATGTCTTCACCCACACTTCAACCAAAAACTATCACCTAAATTCCAAAAAAAGATTCACATAAATAGAAAATTGGCTCAAAATAAACTTTCCCCACAATTCAAAAAAAGAAATGAAAAAACCAGAAATGGAGTCGTTATACTACATATTCTTCGACTAAATTCGATATCTTACTGCATCTATCCATTAAAATTAATCTATTTCAACCCATAACTACTTTTATCCACAAAAATTTGCAGATAATTCACCAAAAATGAATTCAAGACAAAACAGTTTCAATTTCAGAAATCACAAAACAAATGTGAGAAAATTAAGGCAAGAGAAGAGGGTTGTTAGGGCAAAAAGCACAAACCTCGGTCGCCTTTAGACGGAGAAAATCTTAGAGAGAGAACTTAGAGAGAGAAAGAGGAACAAGTCAGCTTTGCAGGAAAGAACCAGAGGACCGTCCCATCTCAAAAAAAGACAGATGTGCAGGTTTATATAGAGAGGAAAATGTTCCTAAAATGCCGCTGATTTGTTGGATAAATTTCGAAAGATACCCCTTGTCTCAACCACGTGTTTGACGCGCCCCGTCCCTGTCTTCTCGCAGTAGATTCTGGCACTGGTGGACCCTATTAGACCTGAAGAGTCCCAATCTTTTTTGTAATGACTAAAGCAGGTTTTTGGGTTTGTACAGCGTAATCCCATCGGATCAGATTGTACATTTGGTTTCTCGGGCGAAACACTTGAACTCTTCTATTTGAAGTTCAGTATTTTCATAAAAATCAAAATGAGATTTAGAATGATTTGAGACCTACATCTAACTATTTGAAAATGAAAATTTTCTTGAGAAAGCAAATAAATAATTTGCTCCCAAAAAAGCATAAATCTTAACAAAGAAACAAGCAAAAGCAAATGGAAAAGGAAAAGTTTATATCGAACGAGCCTCTAAACAATCAGGTTAGATTCTATCTCAAAATTTTCGATAGAAGAGGTTGTTTTGATGTGTGGATATCCTCAAATTGATTATACCGACACCAAGATACATAGACATGAGCAAAAAATAGATTTCAAATTTTAGAAATAGGGTATTTTGTAATATATTTTTGTATTATACCGACACCAAGATACATAGACATGAGAAAAAAATAGATTTCAAATTTTAAAAATAGGATATTTTGTAACACATTTTTGACCCGTCAATTTTCAAGAATTTTTGAAGACTGCTCTCATATTCCTCTATTCACAACTACTGCCTATGATTGATGGGAATGTGCGATTGAGACCCTGCATTCACATATAATGGATCAAGTTTCATTAATTGCCAGCTAGTCATCGATCATAATAAATTCTCTTGCATTTTTTTTGGGTCCCATTCATAGAACATTATCTACTCAGAACCTAAACCATACCCACACAAAATGAAACTTAAGGGCAAAAGAGGAGAAGGGAGTAACATTTCAATTTTAAGAGAGATTTTAGGGTCGAGATCCAGTTTTTCTAATATCCAACATTTTACTGGACTCAACAATTTGGAGCAATGGTTGAAAAATCGGCGAGCCCACTCAAAATCGCTTGATTAAGTTTAGCCTTGAGATATCTCTCTTACGTCAGACTTTTATGAACCGGAAAATATCGTTTGAGTTGTTTGCAACCAAATGTTCTATTGTGGTGAACTGCTGTGGTCATTGTAAAGGCTAGAGGGATTCCCGAGTCATTGCTCGAGTCCCAAGCAATTTCTCTTTCCAGCATTTTTTTTCTTTAGTTTTCAAGCCGGCTCAGAACAAGAAGTGCCCGAGTCCTATTTTTCAAACAGTGACTAGTTTTTAGGCCAGTCACAGGGGAACTATGTGATAAATGTACCCTTAGCTTTGCATATGTAGTCCAACTAGGACATGATTTATAATCAAATAACTCATGATATTTAATGATGAAATGTCTTTATATATTGTATGGTCATGTTGAAACAATAAGTAATTTGGATGCGGAATTGGACCAAATGGGTTTCGTGGGTCCTGACCCAATTCCCCCACAAAATTCCCTTTTTCATTTTTTTTTTTTTTTTCTTTTTAGATTTATTTAATGTTTTATGTAGTCCCCACTTAAATCCCCACTCCATAAACCTCTATTCTAATTTTTATTTTATTTTATTTTATTTTATTTATTCATTTAATAAAATGGATCACCAAACCACACGATTCAAGAACGGTATGGATCCAGTTGATCCAGACTAGGATTGGGGATAGACAATCCAGTCCACCGATCCATTTTTTTAAACACTGATTAGGATAGAACATTGTTTTAAAAATCAGAATGGGCCCCTAGACCGCCAAGAGCCCAATTCCAATTCGCTTAATTCTTGTGATTCTCAAGTCTGATCGGGTTATATATTACAAAAAATACAAAAGAAAAGAAGGCAAAAAGAGGGAATTGGGGCAATTCTGATATTCCTGGAATAAGAATTCCCCACCTTTTAAGCGACTCCAATTCGAATTGGCAAATAATTTTTAATCGCCGATTCCAATTAGTAAGAAAAAGACTTTGACAATGATAATGAGTTATTTACTTTGATCAAATAATTTTCATTTTAGAATTGTATGAGCCATAACAAATAGTCAACTAAAGCAGCACATTTTTTATGTTTGGACTCAAGTTAAGCGATTCCAATTCGAAGTGGCAAATAAATTTTAATCGCCGACCTCAATTAATTGAAAAAAAGCTTTGACGACCATAATGAGTTTTTTACTTTGATCAAATAATTTTTATTTTAGAATTGCATGAACCATCACATGCAGACAACTAAGGCAGCACATTTTCCAAGCCTGGATTCTGCAATGAATGGGATGGTAGGGAATGAGGGGAACATAGAAAAAGTGAGGGTTGTGAGGGATCGAGCATTTGGGTAGGTAGAGGGCTGGTGAGAGAATATAATCTTCGAGAAGACCCATTCCATGTGTGGATGAGTGCATTTGTGCTTTAGAGAGAATCTTTGAGGACCCATGCCATGTGATTAGAGAGAGAGGAGAGAGAGAGTATTGGGGGAAGACCTTCCAAATCCATGCCATTCCCATAATACTATGAAGACATATGCACGAATTGTATACGAAAAACCAACATTGTTATTTTTAGTTTGAGTTATGTGTTTTTTTTTAAACATAGTTTTCGAGATGAACTGGACCACCCGATCCAACTTGTCGGATAATCAACTCGTATTTTGGTCGATCTGATCTAAAACAAAAATCTTGTTTGGCCAAAAACCAGTCGATGATTTGACTAGTTTTTGCCAGTTTGGTTATTGGTTTTGACCGGTTCAACAAGTTAAACAAATTTATTAAACTTCTTTATGGTATATATTATATTAAAAAATCATTATTCTATTTTTTTTTTTATGATCTAAAATCTAGTTCAAACGATTTGATTTGGACTAAACCTCTCACTGGATTGGTCAAGCAGGTTTTGATTGGACTACACGTCTCACTAGTTCGGTAGCCGGTCCATCCTAATAACTATGCTTTCAAATACACATGTTTGAAAGTTTGGTAAAACTAAAAATGCATTGACCATTGTATTAAAGAAGGGTGTGGTTTGCCTAAGGTTGCAACTTTAAACAATCAAAATAAGGTGCACTTCTAAATTTTATCATAAGATATAATTTTGGTGTAAAATTTTATTAGGGTGGCCTAAAAATCCATTTTTATTTTTAATTATAAAATTTTGAACTTCAAAAATGGCTCAAATCAAGTAGATCCATGAACACATAAAAATCATGTAAATAGATGGTCTAGATAATGTGTTGCAAAGTGCAATATTTATGGGACTCAAAATCATATTCATATATTTGGATGTTGAGATGATCCATTAGAGGGTTTTCCAATATCAAAACAACTTTTGCCCACAAATTTTTAGGTGCATCTTAATTCTACATTTTAAAGTTGCAACTTTATATAAAATTTTTCCATTAAAGAATTAACCATATTTTTTTTTTATACAATGAGGTTCCAATCACTCTAAACCATCATATGTTTGTGAAGATCGAGAATTTTTTTTTTGAACTTTAAGCTTTATCACAAGAACAGCCCCATCCATCACATTTTAAATTTAATGGCCACTTGTGATTTTAACTTCCTTGTACTACTAAATATAATGTTCGATAAAAAATAACGTATTTAAAACTTAAAAGTTTTGGTGCGTTCGATTTTCTTAAGCATCCACTTGATTTTGGATCTAAAGTTTCAGGTTCATTGGGATCATGAATCTTGTAAGAAGTGGAATTAAACTTTACAAGTAAACTATTTTAAAGAATTAGAATGGACAACACAAAATAACCCAAAAATATTTTTAAATTAAAATAATTTACTTTTGAGATTTAAAATTAATTTTTTTCAGATTCATGATAGTTGTGATCTAGATTATCGACATGTTCAATTTTAGATTTAAATCCAAATTTAGTGCTGGATTTTGGTGGGAGACACTTGAATAGGGTGGGTCGTCAATTAAGGCCCCAAAACCCTGTTGGGATATAGATATTTGGGGTTCATATTGATATATATCACTATGGATGTATATGTATATATCTTTTGATAAAGTTAGGCATCTAGAATATAGATACTAAGTCAAATTATCATACCATAATTATCTCTTCTAATCGTGTGATTGTCCTCTATATAAAGAGGAATTTATTGATGTAAACATTCGTCCAATATAATGAAGATATTAGCCGGTTGGAGTTTTGGATCCGTGGATGTAAGGATTCGGCTTTAACCACTTAAATATTATCTCTCCCTTTTATGCTATTCTCTCTCCCTTCTATGCTCCCACAAATTCTAATATGGTATCAGAGCTCAACGTCATAGTAGAACCAGTAGAGAGGCTATTCTCTCTCCCTTCTATGCTCCTACAAATTCTAACATGGTATCGAAGCTCAGCGCCATAGTAGAACCAGTAGAGAGTATACCTTTAGTAGATGAACTTCGTCATAGTAGAACCTAGTAGAGAGAATATCTTCAGTAGATGAACTTCTTCTGATGGAGTTCTGTGAAAGTCCTGCTTCTTGATGTGGCATACAGGCATGAAGGAGAGCGTAATAAGTTTTTCCGTTCACTGAAACATAACGGAAAGCATATCTTTTATCACATACCTTACACTTCAACTTCCATCTAGCTGATAAAAGATGATTCACAGCTTTTTGCTTCATATGTTTGATGAGGCCCCTCCCTCTCCTACTCCCATTGTTGCTCCTGACTTCAATGTAATCAGTTATTGAGTAGGAGTAATGGTGTGATTGCTTTGCTGCTGATAACCTCCCAAGTTGATTCTCCTATATCTAAGGAAACCCTCTCCTTCTTTGTGACTTTACCACACCCTTTTTGCTCTTTTTGCTCCTCTCTCTCACTATAATCACCGTGTGTACTTTGAGAGGAAAACTGGTAAGTGGATTCCTGTTCTTGGCCTCCATCAATCCAATGGTGCTCTGAATTATATTTAGAAAACAATTCATCGGTCCAATAAGTTGGAAACTGGAAAGTGGGTTCCACTACTTGGCCTGGATCAATCGAATGGTGCTCTGGATCATATTCAGAAAACAATTCATCAGTTGAATAAGATGGAAACGGCAAAGTGGGTTCCTCTACTTGGCCTACATCAGAATCATATTCCTAAGGCAACCCATTAGCTGAATAAGATTAATGTCTATTAGTTTTACAGCCATGACTGCTTACATCTAAAGCTCTGCAACATTCCATGGCCACCATGCCTTCTTCATCATCCACTAAGACTCGCATCTGCTTCTCAGTCCTTTCTCTCTCAGCATATCCAATTACCTGATCTATGAGCATCTCCCATGTCAAATTGCTCGTACAAGTCCACTCTAAAACCACCTGCATAAATTCCCTCTTCATACTCAATTGACACCACAACTGGTTGAGAGAGATAAAGGACCCCTTTTTCTGGATTTTCTCAAGACATGTCATCAATGGCCACCCCCTTTCGGTCCATTCCTTGAAAATTCATCTCAATCCTTAGTTATTCGGATTTTTGAGAGAGGGAAACTCTGTTCACAGGCTTCATCCGGAAAAAAAACAGTTATCTCCTCACACCCACTCTTGCTCTCTACAATCACACCTTCACACCAACACACTTCTATAAAGGCATCGACTCAGAGGCCAGGAACAGGTTTTCATGAGAGGGAGGAGCCGAAAGAGGAGGATAAAGAGCCCTGATCCTTGGTCTCTTGTTCTTGGAAGAAGAAGAAGAATCAGAGCACAAGAATGGAAGCGATCCAGACATAGGGATAGCAGTGATGAACCATCGCTTTCCTTGATGTTGTCGTTTCCAACTATCCAGATTATGTATAATCTGAGACCTCTCCAGAGTGCCATGTCCCTTTCAGGCCTTCATTAAGAAAACGCACCTCCACCTGGTCTCCAATTCTAAACAAACCTTTGCTCTTCTTTCCCATTCTCTTATGTCTCATTGATCCTTTGCACAAGTGCATCGTTTCTCTTTTTTTCTCCTTTGCAACGTCAAACCCACGAGCATATCTATGAAAATTTGAAAATCTTGAAAATTGATAGTCCAAAAATACATTACAAAATGTACTATTTTTAATACTTGAAATCATTTTTTTTTTCATGTCCATAATCAATTTGATGATATTTGGGCATCAAAGCAACCTCTTCTAGTGAAATTTTTGATATTCACCCTAAGTTGATTGTTTAAAGCCTTGTACTTATATAAATTTTTTCCTTTTCTATAAGGCTTTTGATATGCACCCTAAGTTGATTGTTTAGAGCCTTGTACTTATATAAATTTTTTCCTTTTCTATAAGGCCTAGGTCTTATGGAAAAAAATATAAATCCCTACCTTGAAACCTCATCGGTAAACAATGTAAATCCCTACCTTGAAACCTCATCGGTAAACTACTTTGGACATTCGAAATCTCTATGATGGCTGATGGTTCTAAAATCAATGTCCACCACCGATTATAAAATTTGTAAAGCAAAAAACAGTACAGATTTTGCGGACACGTGAACACTTGAAAATAGACGATTTAGATAATATTTTAGAATTATAAACTTAAAAATCCTAAATATTTTTCACAACCAAAGTTAAAAGGATCGATTTGAAGATTTTCTGACACCAAAACAACAATTTTTCATGAGCTTTGTGGTGAAGGTTTACTTATTTTTATAGAGCTGCGGCCCTATCAAAACATTTTTCCTTTAAAAAAAAGGCCAAGATTTTGATTCATTTAAACGATTTAAATGTTTCCAACATGAAAGGATAAGAAAAAAAAATTTAAGTAAATATAAAATAGTACACATACAAGTCGTGCATCCAGATTTGGGAGATTGAATCCAAAGCCCATAGTGCTTATTAGGCTAAGGAGGCTTTTGAAAAAGTTTATATAGAGCCGAGGCTCTAAACAATCAAATTAAAGCCCACCTCAAAATTTTCATTAGAAGAAGTTGTTTTGACGCCCAAATGCTATGAAATTGACCATCTCGACATCAAGATGCCTAGACATGAAAATAAAATGAATTTCAAATTTTGGAAATACATGAGAAAAAAATGAATTTCAAATTTTGGAAATAACACATCTTGTAACACATATTTAGACTGTCAATTGTCAATCAAGTTTTCATAGATCTGCTTAATCTACACTATTTTTTTAAGCTGTAAAATCTATAATTAATGATGAAAAAATATTTTAAGGTTATCACAAAGATTTCCAATATTTAAACCATATTTCTCTGCACTATTTTAAGGTGAGTTCTAATTTGATTGTTTAGAACCTTGACTCTATACAAACTGCAACCTTTACTTGTACATAATAAGGGTGTATGTGTGTGCAAGAACATGAGTAGACAGGCTATTAGCACACAAATAATTGGCATTTACGTGTTCCTGCAATTAAGATTCGAGGAGGTGGTGAATTGTAATGTCAAGGGTTTCATTCCCACCCGTTAACATAACAGAAAAGAAAAATAAAAACTAAAAAATAAAAACCCAATAATCACCAAATTTTGCAAACATGAAGTTCTCATTTAGGTGCTAAAAAAAGGAAAATGATTTTGCACAAAAATTATGGCATGAAATGAATGCATGGTTCTCCAAAGTAACATAGTTTCTTAGTAATTATTTCCTTTTAAGTGTTCAAATATCATTATTTTGGCAATGGTTCACAAATATACAAATAAACTTTTTCTCTATACAATTCTTGTGTGGTAACCCAGGAACTTTATGTTTCAACTTTCAACCCTGACCAAAGCACCAAAGCTCTTGTACTGTAAACATGATCAAAGACGCCACATTCCACATGGCCAAAGTTACACAGAGATTCACAGTTCCACTGCTTCATTTCTATATACAAACCCATTATAGTTATTCAAGCCAAGCATTATGGCATAATCAAATCAGTGACCTCGAAATTTATCCAACCAAAACCTGCATCCTTTTCACCAAATCCAAGGCCACCACGTAACTCCAACATTGTCAGGCGATGTATCATGGCTTGCCATGCTGACAAATAAGCGTCAAGCTCTATAGCTTCGTGTAACGACAATGACGAGAAGAACGAGAACAGAAAGCATGAGAGAGGATCTCAAAGTCTCTGTAAAAGCATCCATCTTTTTCTCTTGCTCTGCATAAGGAAGCCTAAACAGTTCGTCGATAAGCGTTGAAAGTTTATGGAGAATTTCCTGTACTTTTGCCTTGAGATTGTCCAAGACCCACTCCACAATCCAGGTGATGGCATCGGGGGAGTTTTTGTTGGGCCCATTGCTAGGAGTCACATTTCCAACTGGGATATTCAAGACACTTAACAATAGGATCAAATCCACATAAACACGCATACACGTATCTGTGTTGCCTGAACATGGACCACAAAACACTATAGTCCATTTCATCAATCACCACCCGATAAAATCATGGATGGTGATGAAGAAGTGGATCCCACCATCAGGGTTATGCCCATTCAAGGGGGTCCCACTGTCTGTCCATCACAGTCCAATGGACTTATGGCACACTTTCCATTGTTTGAGCACATGCACAATCATATGGATGCCCCTAATTTTTCTTTCAATATGCTTCTGGAAATAGTCAGAAAAAAAGTGTCATACTGATCAAAAATAAAAAGGAAATACATAATGCTTTGGACTCCACTTAGAAGGATCTAAAAAGAGGAGTAAAGAATAGCGCAATAGTACACCTCTGTGAAGGGAGTCATGGAGCTCTTGGACTGCCTCATTTTTTGAGACCGCATCCCAAACAGCATCGTCTGACGCCAATGAAACCACCATCCTCTGCACATCGAATTTTCAAAGATGCCAAGTATTTATATGCAACAAACAAAAATAGAATGGCCAAATCCTTCAAGTGCACTGAAAGAAACTTGCGAAATTACTACTATCATGGCTTCTTTCGATGTACGCCCATGCATGTTCATCTCTTTTCCCTTTCATGCAAAACCATTGTGCGTGAGGACATTTTTTTAACATTTACTGAGGGCAGGACAATTTTTTCATTCGATTGAGTGTACTAGGATTTGAATTATTGGAAATCGTGTTTTGGTAGAATGAAAATTTTCAACAAGAATCTACCCCCAAAAAAAATTTCAACAAGAATATTTTGGTGATTTGTTACACACAATGCAGATTTCCACTAAGGGGCAAGGGTATTCTTAGAAATAAAGAAGCATTTAACCCGTTTTTTAAAATTTGGACCCGGAACGGAGATCGCAAGATCCAGATCGTGAATTGGTGCCTGTCAAAGATCAAAACGATGTAGCTGTCCGAGTAGGACTGATCCACCAATAATGCAAAGTTGGGGGGATGAACACCTTTTTTTCCCCCCCATTATGCAGCTCATAGACTGTAAATCTCAATCGATCAAACCTTCAGTCAAATTGCTGATCTATTTTCTATATAGTGCAGCAAATTGGCTTCTAACAATCAAATTGGATTAAAACTTTCAGTTTAATATATATTAAAAAAAGCTTTCAGTTTTTTTATTAGAAAATTTTTTTTCTTTTTTTGGCTGTTGTTCTTGGCCCAGTTTGCCAAAGAACATATTAGAGTAATCTGTTCTTTTTTGGTTCTCTTAAAAGCTCATTGATCCCTCTACAACATCAGATCATCAATTTCAAGGATCAAAACCTTCTTCTTTTTTTGAAAGATGAAGCCCAAAAAATTTGGGGTGTTCACATCCAAGAATCCTGAATCAAAGATGAAGATCATCAATTTGGAGTTGATTTTCTACAAATTTCTGAAGGGCTTAGGATCTAAAAAAGCCACTGATTTGATCTGAAACAGGTATTTAGTTCTTTCAATTTGCTTTTTTTTTTCAATATTTATTTTACTAGGATCTAAGGTTTAGGTGGACATGTGGTTTTGGACATAATCCACCAAATCGCAAATTTAATCTTTGCTTTTAAAACAAATTTCAACAAATTTGTTGAAATTTCATTCAATTGATTCTTAATTTCATCATTCTACATGATTTTTTGTTCAATTTAAGGGACTAAAATTTTTTAAATAATATAATGTATGAAATCTTAAATACAATAGTACTTTTTTGCTACTGTTATATTTATTGCAATAGATTGTATAATTTTTTGTTCTTTTGTTGCCATTATATTTATTGCAATAGAATGTATAATTTTTTTTCAAAGAAAAGTCTTATCTTATAATTTTATAATAAATGCAATTTTGATATAAAAAATTCTTGATTTTTTATTGCAACCTTATATAAGCTTTTTCCTTTAATTAATTGTATAAAAATATAATTAGAATGTCTGTCAAGTATTTACAACAAGATTCTTTGAACATTATAATCAAGTAAAAAATAATAGTTGTGCAACTAATCTAATATTGTATCAAAATATTTGTAAGTTTCAAAATGTTCCCCATGCCTGATAAACTTTCAAGTTGCTTTTTCATCTCTCTAACATTCTCAGTAGTTCCACACTTTCACCATGTCTCATCTTAAAGTAAACCTTGCATGGCTGCATAACAAAAAGCATAAAATTATTTGCAACTATTTGCACGAGGTGATTCGTAGTGGGATAAACAAGTTTAAGCAGCACTTGGCAGGAGTTAAAGTTGAAGTTGCAGCATGTCTTGATGTTCCTCAGAATGTGAGGAAGCAGGTGGTAGTTCTTCTTACTGCCAACAAGGGTAATAAAATAGCCAAACAGAGGACAGATAAGGAGATGGCTTACCCCTATACTCCATCTAGTGGGAGGGGAGTAGATGAGCAATTTCAACTGGACATGGAGCTTGCGATGAGACCAAGCATGGTGGAAGTGCACCATCAAGAAAGCAGCATGGGTACAGATGGTAGAGTTGACATGGGCTTCTATGGAGTAAAGGGCATGTATGGAGGAGCTGACACGCGTATGCATGGAAGGGTCGGGGAACTTGGCACTAGTTCTAGGTGGGGAGGGGTGTTGTCAGGGACTACCTCAACCTATACACCAGATGTTGAGTAAGCTCCTCCTGGCTTGTCGACTGGTGCTAGTTTCATGGAGACCAGGCGACGAGCACATAGCAGACCTACTTGGCCCACTACTCAAGGGGTCGCATTGACCCATTCCTCTCCAAGCCGACGGCATAGCAGAAGAACATCTACACCAAAATGTTTAGAAATGCAATGGATACAGTGACGAAGGAATATAAAATTATAAGGAAAGCAAGGGATATACCAGAAGGACAGATTAAGGGAAAGTTTACTGTCCTCACCCTTCAGTTACAATGAATAAAAAATTATAATGGTTAATGCCCGATAGTGGTATTCAACAACTCAAATTTGGTGTCTGACATGCACAAGGCCAAAATCAAATGAGCCAGTCAAGTCAAACGATTAACTCGTAAAAACTTGGGGGTTTACTTTTTATAAATGTCATGTGGAAATTGTAAATAAATAAATAAATAAGAAGAAGTGTTCAAAAAGGGAATCCAAACCAGTATGTTCCCTAAGTTATATTACATTGCTACCACACTGCAAGAGACTATGTGTTAATCAAGCTAACACAGAATATTCTACATAACAAAAAGCTCGAACACATCCCATGTTTTCCATTTATAAAAATCATCTACTAAACGAACTGAGTTGACTTAAGCGAGTTTTTCCAAGTCAAAACAAGTTTTTATCCATTGGACGATAGAACTGAAGATGAAAGCATGCTATTATATTTAAATTTTTAAATCATTTCATTAAATAAAATAAATTTATCTAAATACCCATGAGAGACGAACTATTTAACTTTCTACTCATATACCCATCTAAAGACACATGAATACCCATGAGAGTTGAACAATTTAACATTCTACTAATGTCTTTCGATTTAATTTCCAATAACCTTCAAAAGACACATGATCATGAGTTGGAATAGTTGCAACAAGGTAAGATGCTAAATAGTTGAATCTCTAGGGGGTAGTTTGATAAATTTCCCTTAAAATAAAACCAAGAATGCATACTAGTCAATATCTTATCACCCAATAAGTCTCCAATGAGATCCCACTACACACTATAAAACCCCTAAGAACAATAGATGCAACCATGTCCACAACCCCAAGTTCATGCTTAATGAAAATTAAAGAAAGAGAAAAGTTCAAGAAAGAAAGAGAGAATGTACAAACCTGAACATATGGGTTGGACCTAAGCAAATGAAATGCATCAAAAACTCCAGTGCTTTCCTCGGATTCTGACATTTTGGGGTAATAATAGTTCAGTGAAGGTTCAATCCAGTCTGGAAGTTGTCCAGATGAAGGACCATCATCTAATGTGGTGTTTGAGACAATGATTCGATTATCCATTCCCCTTTCTGATGTAGACAGCAACCCATCATCATAAACTTGAGAGTTGGAAACCGGGAATATAACCCTACAACAAATCAAATCATGAACTCCGTACTATGGAGATGCTGCCCAAGACAGCAAATGTTCTGAGAGAGTAACTACTCTCTCTCTCTCTTTCTCACTCACTCACACACACACACACACACACACACACACACACACACACACACACAAACACACACACAAAGTGCATCACTATATGTCGTTCCACATGGTGCATCACATAGTTACTAGGATCTCCCAAATAGGTGGCAATCCCACTCTGGGATCTCACCCTTGTGATTTATAAACTTTGGGGAACCCAATCCTACTATTAGGGCTCTCGATCTGAATGTTAAAGACTAAGACAACAACCAAACTGATGATTTATAGCCAGTTAGCAACACAATTATAATTTTCATATAGTTACATTGCTTACTAGCTATAAATAAAGAGATACCTACATTAATGAGTAAATATAATCCTAAATCCCAAAAGGCTGGGATTAAGATCCCAAAAGGTCAAGATTAATATTCCCAAAAAGTAGGGATCTCGATCCCTAAAATTTGGGAAAGTTGGGATCTCGATCCCTAACATTCAGGGATATTCACCCCTAACATATGCATTATACAGATGATGCTCCCAATCATAGGGGTCTTCTAGCATTTCACGATCCCCCCACTCCCAATCCACTACATCCTTTTGTTGTCTCTCCATTGTTAACACAAGTCATGAGGGGAAGCCAAACTCACAAGTCATGGGGGAACTTATATGTCACATTTGGTGCATCATTTTGTTAAAGGAGAACCAGACTTCTTTCCTCATCTATCCCTCAAACTCCAACCCAAGGGTGTCTTGATCATCCCAAGCACTCAATTATAGGTTCATCTTCAATAAGAAGCAAGACACTCAAATTTGTCTAGCAAGCCCTTCCATAATCCATGCTGTTTTCTTTGACTATATGATGGTACAACAAAGGTGATGTATTTTTTCCATTAATAATGCCGGTTGCAGCAAGTTTCAATTTTTTTTTATCAAGAGCACTTTCAGTAACAATACTCTTAAGCTGGATGTCATTTTTGATATCCAATAAGAACTCATTTGTAAATTACAAGTGTCATTTTTGATATCCAATAAGAACTCATTTGTAAATTACAAGTTCCACCTGAGAAGCAATTTTGGAGCTCTTGATTTATTTTTGAGGGATTTGATAAGTATTTTAGAGCTCTTAAGTTCTAGTCAATTTTAAACAATTTAAGGAGACTCCTTTGTTATTGGGTATCTTTGAATCAAATTCTATATCTTCACCTTGTGCCCACAGGTGAAGCAGGATATGAATTTATAGGACAAACATATGCCCATACTATCACTAAGAATTGTGTTCCTTAGTTAGTGACAAGAAATCCAGCTCATAGTAAAGCCTTAACACTTCAATTGCAGCAGAAAATATGTGTCTCATGAACATACATAAAAATTGCCCATTCACTCCTGACTTCAATGGACTCCTTGAAGGAATACGTCAGCATATTCTTGAAAATCAAAACTAGTTCACCATATGAAGGTACTGCAGTCCAAGCAAGGCCACACATACTACTATCTATGTAACTAACTTCTCCCTAATCACATTCAAATAGAGACTACTCATTTTTAGCAAACAGAATGGTTACCTGGTCGCTTGAAACGCCACATATTCTGTTGCACATGTTTCTTTTGAATAATATGCTCATCTGCTAGAACCACAAAACAATAATCTCAAATTATTGTCGTAGATCTTGTGTGTTGATCTTTAAAAGATTAGCCTATTTCCAAATCACAAGAAATGTAGCTCCCTGCTCTCCTTCTCCCCTAGTTATCCTCCCATCCTTTAGTTCCATCTTCTAACTTACTGGACGCTATATTACAATTCACATCTACTACCATATGAATGAGATTTATGTCAACCCTCATTAAACTAAGAACATGAAGTTGCACCCAAAGCTTCCAATGCTGGTGATCTGTTGAAATGGTAGTCAAACACTCAATTCTTAGAATCATGTAACAAATTCTGCTGACGCAAAGCCTAGTCAAGGTGACTGGGTGAAGCACAATCCAAAAGCCAAATTCCCAAAAGATAAGAAAGACCGCAAGTTTAGTTGCACTTCCCACCAAGGATCAACAATTACAGTAATCAATTGAACTTCACATTGCTTTCAGGAATGAGACTACACTGTTAGTCCAAATAAAAATAATAATAAATACATAAAATTGAAAAAATAAACTTACTCGGATCTGTCCTTAAATCACACGAGGGACTTGAGGTTCCATATCAAATCCTATAGACCAAGCCATGTGGTGACAGGCAACGTTGAGAGTCATCTTTGATGAATCTCATTCACCCTCCATCTCTATTTTTTTATATTTTTTTTTATCTTTTTTAGAGGGGTTAACCTCCTTTTATAGAGAACAAATTATTTTGTAACTCTCACATTCATGGTATATCGGAGTTGAGATTCAAGTGTAAGTCCTGCCTTAATTCCTTTAAGTGCAACTAATTAGGATTAACAAGTTGTCACCAAACTGTTAATCCTATGTAATGAGCTAAACATGTCATTAGTCCACTAATGACTCACATAATAGGATGTCATCCAAGCATTCCCACAATTTGATAAAAGATATTTATAAATTAAATAAACTTTGTATATCTATAATATAAAAATAAATTCTTACAAGGAATCCAATTCCAAACACACCACTGGTTTTCCCTCCAATGCAACATCCTATTAAAGCTCAAAAATGGATCCAAGTATATTACATTGTCTCATGTTAACCACATGGGATTTCACATATACTTCAACATGGCTTTGTACAATTATTGAAAAAAAAAAACTTCTGGGAGAAAATGGCTAATAGACCACATTTCCAACAACTCCCACTTGGCCTGAAGGCCCGTTGACATCTTGTAAATGTCATTGCCTCATGCTCTTCACATGGGATTTTCATATACCCAGCTAGTGTAATCAAACACCACACTTAGATTTTCTGGCCTCCATAGCCATATATATGACATTGCCCCATGCAACTTGCATAGGATTTCAAATATACCCTACCAATACGGTCATTGACCACACTTAGATTTCCTGGCCTCAACAACCTTGTATATGGTATTGCCTCATGCTACTTGCATGGGATTTCACATATACTCTGCCAATGTGGTCATACACTACACTTAGAGTTCCTAGCCTCAACAACCCTGTATATGGCATTACCTCACGCTACTTGCATGGGATTTCACATATACCCTACCAAAGTGGTCATACACCACACTTGGATTTCCTGGTCTCAACAACCTTGTACATGCATTGCCTCATGCTACTTACATGGGATTTCACATATATCCTACCAAAGGGGTCATACACTAGACTTGAATTTCCTAACCTCAACAACCTTGTATATGGTATTGTCTCATGCTACTTGCATGGGATTTAACATATACCCTGCCAATGTGGTCATACACCACACTTAGATTTCCTAGCCTCAACAACCTTTTGTATATGGCATTGCCTCACGCTACTTGCATGGGATTTCACATATACCCTGCCAAAGTGGTCATACACCACACTTGGATTTCCTGGCCTCAACAACCTTGTATATGGCATTGCCTCATGCTACTTGCATGGGATTTCACATATACTCTACCAAAGTGGTCATACACAGGATTTCTTGGCCTCAACAACCTTATATATGGCATTGCCTCATGCTACTTGCATGAGATTTCACATATACCCTGCCAATGTATATACATTGCCTCTTGCTACTTGCATGGGATTTCACATATACCCTGCCAATGTATATACATTGCCTCATGCTACTTGCATGGGATTTCACATATACCCTGCCAATGTGGTCATACACCACATTTGGATTTCTTGGCCTCAATGGTTTTGTATATGGCATTGCCTCATGCTACCTGCATGGGATTTCTCATATACCTTAACAATTATTCACCAACACGTTGGATTTTATTTACATCTATCTTTTAGCCAAGAGAAAAAAAAGGCCCATTGCTTCCGCATGTTTCTCAAACATGTCATCCACCACTGGTCTTTAAGTCCAAAGCACAGATTCGGATTATAGGTCAAAATCATAAGAACAATAATAATTTGACAAAGCTTTAAGTGGTGGAGGTTCGAGTCCTCTTCAAGGCATTGAGAATGCTCATTGAATGAGCAATTCAATGACTTTCTTAATGTGCATTGATCACAATCGAGATAACAAATTCAATTCTAATTTGGTAAATGATGATTTACTCCCACCATCCAATGAATAGCTATCAACAATATGATAATTCAATCTAACACGATACATCATTAAATATTTTAATGTTATGTGGATATACACATAGCACTATAAGGTGTCAATGATTACACTTTCCAAGGATGTTGTAATGCATAATCTTGTAAAAAAAGAAGGGAGGAAAAAGAATATTATCACAAATATACATTTATTGTTGAACTTGGAATATTCATAAGCATTGATCACCATGAAATATTTCAAATCAAGTATTTCCTTGCGTAAATAGTTGTCTTGTCATAATATGTATAATTGCTAGAGGGCTACATTAGAAATAAAAATGTAAATAGTGAACACCAAATTTCTCTTTCGTACATGGCAAATGAGAGAGTCTATCTCTCTTTTCCTCTCAATATGTTTTCGTACAAATGATTAGAGATGAATGAATATTGAGCTTTGCCTAAAATTACGCAAGCTGCCTTTTGTGCATTAAGAGGTTTAGCTAAAATATAAAATAATGTCTTACAGTATTAACATCAACGCAACTTTTCGATGATGTCTATGGTCATGGACATGGATGATGGTGTTCATGTGGTTCATAGCCCATGGTGCAAATGACAAACTAATGAATGTGTCCTTCGTGTTCATTGAAGAGAGAGACTTACTTATCTTTAAGTAGAGAGAGAAACTTAAATTTTGAAAAAGAGAGAGACTTACATTTTGAAATAAGACCATACACTGATTTGCATTGGTTTCATGCTATTAAGATAAAATATA